TTTGAAAGTATGTATATGTATTTTTAAATTCCTCGTTTTTTTAGTCATTCTATGAATATCAGATTTGCTTTAACAATACATACATCACTATACCTTCATATAATGACGAGTTATAAGCTCAAAGTAGAATAAAGTATGAATTGTCTTACAAATAAGCTACCATTCAGAAAAGAAACGTAACAGAAAAACATAATTTAAAAGCTTAAAGTTTAACGATTTATTACTTACCGATTTCATCCATTGAAACTCAAAATGTTCGATTTTAGAATTACGGATCTCTTATGTAAACAATGCGTATGAATAAAATTATGTTTGCAAAGATTTATTTTATATATTATCAATTGCTGTTAAAATAACATAATATGATACTTTACTCTACTTTTGTGGGTTTAAACGAATTTGGATAACAGCTTTGAACTTGCATAACTTCCATCCTTCCGAGAAAACAAAATCGTACTGACCGCCTTCTTGGAAACTGAACGATCTTAGAATTGTGTTCTAAACTGTGTTAAATTACGATTGTTAACATGTTTTTTTTCCGAAAACAATAAACTTATTGAAAAAATAGCACACGAATTTTACAGAACAAAATATCTTTTATATATCTATATATAGCTAAAATAAAAGTGGGCGTTAGCTTGCAGACCTGCCTTCTGTTTCTTAACTCTTACATTATAGCAGGGAATCTAACAATGATTACAGAATTTAGAAACATCACATATATATATTTGGAGAGTTAGGTCATAAAGAAGCACATTATTTAAAGTTATTATGCTAAAGAGAGAGAGATGTGGAGCATAACATAAAACAATGTTTTATCATTATAAATAAATATAGAAATAACAAGATAATTAGAAATTATTAAGAGTAGGAAATCTACTATATTAATCGTCTATAGTTAGAAATCTCACTGAAATAGTCGCAGAAAACCAGGTAGAGACAAAGTACAACAGCGAACTCTAAAAATGATGAATGCTCAACATAACAATTCCACATTAATGCGCTATAACTTACACAAATTATTTTCCAATTAATGCACATTAGTAAAACACCGGGTTTTTTCAATGGCGGAAAGTGAAGGACTTCGTCAGGGCGAAAAAACGAAGGTGCTTGAATTAATTTTAAAACCATCTTATGACATATTCAATACTATATCCATTACTGTTTTCCAGGTTTCAGTAAAATATTCGTAACCGTTTTTTTCTGTAGCTGCTTGTAAAACTATAATCAATAATAATAAGGCTGGAGACACTGTTATAAATGTATACATTGTTTACTCTAATAAAACAAAGCGTTTCCGAGTAGTATAAAATGGAGCATTTCTGACTAGTATAACAGTGTTTAAACGGCTTCTACATTTCTGCGATGATTAAATGACTTGGAAGAGCATATGTTGGTAGCGAAGAAGAATTTAGAAAATTTTAGAGGGTGGAAATCATTACTTTCAAGAATCAACTTAAAAATAGTTCTACAACCTTCGCAGGAGTTTGTTTAGTAGCTGTGCATAAATTTTGTCGCAGTATACGTAGCCGTTTTTGCTCTAAGCTTCGGTGTTTAAATGGCTTCGAAGAGAAACTTGGCCAGTAGCAATGAAAAAAACTGAATATCTCTTCTTTTCTTTCTAGAATTAACATAAAAATAGTCCCATGACCTGCACAGGAGTTTTTTGTTTTTTTTTAAGTACGTTTGCCCAGGTTTGAGACAAATATTCATAGCTGTTATTTCTGTAGGCTTGTGAAACAAGATGGAAATGAATGATAATAATAATATTAAAAACAAATGGATGAACTTTGAATTTCTAACAATCGAAAATCAACTTTTTTGCTATTATCCATATATTAGTGGCTTTAGCCATTGAGGTAGAAGGTCGTATGTTCTACAAACATTTTTGTGAAATTCCTGGGCAAACCCTATTATTAACCACTATCGTGGTTCACGATTATCTGCATCATATCAAACTTTTGATAACAATTTGTAAAGTTTAAAACTTGTTTATTATCGGATACACAAAATATAATATCTATGATTACAACGTTTCAGAAGGTTAATCTGGCATCGTCAGATGCGACAAGTTTTCGTGACAGAATACTCCCTTTAACAATTTAATTATTAAAGTTAGTTGAGTTATTGTTTTATTTTGAAGATGATTAATATAATTATTATAATTACTTTACATTGAGTATTCACCCTCTGTCTTGTTTTATAATGGTTGTTTACCGTATGAATGGCTTAAAAATATTTAACATTTAACAATTAACTAATGGAATTTAACAAAAATACCACACACCCTTACACGGAAGAGAAGATTTGATGGATTTGATGGAAAAGCGAAAATATTAAGAATGCAATTTAATTACCTGTTATTGATCAGGAAAAGGGAACCTTAATTAAGAAATATCAATCTTGAAATAAGCAATAACCACAGTTTAGTTGTGGTTTTATTTTTGGGAATAAAACATATCTAAGCCTTACTAAAAATAACGAGTGTCAATTTGCCATTGCACATGATGCATAACGGTTTCATATTAATGATTCAAATAGATGCCCGTCAAGTAAACTGACTTTTGAAGTCCAAATATGGAAAAACTATATTACATAGAACGATGTTGAAGGTTCTTTTTCTTAGAAAATATGCACTGAGAAAAGGTCGAATTAACGAGACTAGCACGACGTCATGGCAAAGGAGCAAAATAAGTGGCTTGAGGCTTCAAAAGCTTATTGCTTCACTTCTAATCTTGTTAGCAAGTGCTAAAGTGCAGTCATCTTGTACAGAAAAATTAATTTCAATCAATACCTCGAGTGTGGATAACAGGGCTCTATCCAAACCTGTATCCATCAGCCAATATATCTAATAAAAGTAAGATAATGTAAATTACAACACTTCTGTCCTCTAGTTTGCAATGTCGATCACTAGGATACATAATTTTGTCTACCAGCATCGTTCTAAACGTCATAGATCAAAGTTAGTAGTGTTTAAAAAGATAATCTTTAACAGGAATATGGGTTCTGAGGTCACAAGTACAGGAATATATTATTTTTATTCAGCGGAACGTTGTAGTCAGATTGTTTAAGGGAATATAAAATTAACCAAGAACAGAGATATGAAGTATTTTAAAAACGTTCGTACTTGAAACTTAGAGCAATATAAAATAAAACTTTTGTTACTTTGACGTCCACTTCGTAAGTTTGCTAAGAGTTGCTTAAATTATTACCTACATTGCAATGCTAAAATCAAGCATTCCTTGCAAGAATCCGAATTGGATGACTTACTTGCATTGTATACAATACTATTCTATAAGTTTTCATGGGATATATTTTATTCTTTGAAGCAGAAACTACTTTACGATATTAATTAAGCATTATTCATAATATTATAGTAATCATTTTGTGTATATAATTACATTAAACGACATTAAAAGACGAAATATATTAATGTATATTAGAAATATATATTTACCAGTCAGCCACTCACTTTCTTTACGTTTAAGTGCATTTTTATTTATCATAACTTCTTTAAATGCTCTTTTTCACCATTTCAAAAGTTCATACTCTTCGTGTGTTCGCATTTATTTCTGTAGGGTAAACCTTATACTTAAAAATGTTTTCTAACTCGTTTTGCTTTTAATATCAAGCTTAATTTGTTGTTGTAATGTTTTCCCATTGAAATAAATCACTCTCGTGAGGAGCGAAAGGTTAAATAACCTGGACTTGAAAAAAAAAAAAGCTAATATCTGCTGGAAACGTCTATTTGAATTAAAACAATACCTCAAAGATGGCATAGTTCATAAAGAAAGTTATATATTTCATAACTACTAGCTTACAAGCTACAATCATTAATTGGAAGTATTAATTTATTCCCATTACAAGGCTAAAATTTTGGTTTCGATTTCTGCTGTGAGCATATTGCAGATAGCCCATTGTGCTGCTTTCGCTAATATTAAATTCTAATAATCTTTCCGTTGATGAGCCTTAGCTTGTCTTAGTGGTTAGCAAGCTCTGAATGTGAATCTGAAAGTTCATGATTCGCGACATATTGCCGAAAAAACTCGCTCCGTATTTTGGCATTGTGAATGAACTGTAAGAATACCGGTCAAATCTCACTATTTGTTCAAACGACAAGAGTAGCCCTACGTTTGACGGTAGGTGGTGTCGACTATCTGGCTTCCCTCTAGTCTACCGTTTCAATATTAGGGATGGCTATAACTAGATAGCCCTTTGTGTAATTTTGCGCAAAAATTCGAAACAAATTGAACTTAAAATACAGGCATAAATCTAACATCTAAAATACTCGAACTTATAATGTCATCACATTGATGTTACTTTCAGATCTATCTATCTGTATCTATGTCTGATTGACTGTTTATTTGTCTGTGTCCAGGTAATTAAAATTAAAAGACCCTCTTACCATTTCTACAAATTAAAGTATATAACAAATAAATTACACTTAAAAGTTTCTAAATCAATTAGCTAACTGTACATCTAATTCTCGACCTGCAAAAATAAGTTTAAGTTTTTTTCTACTCTTAACTGATATAAAATTTTCTTATGATAATTGTAAATAGATGTTTTACACAAGTGTCGTTTTAAACCATTCTTTTCACATTAGTTTATACAATGTAGCTGAATAAATTGAATACTTTTGATTATTTTCAGGGTATTTTCTAAAGATAGTTTTAGAGTAAAAAGGATGACTAAGAAATAGTTTGCGTTCTTAATGATCTCTTTCATATAGTACTTCAGTCAGTAGTATGTGGTAAAGATTGTTATCAAATTTGTGCTAACAAAATCCATCTTATAGTGTCACTATAAGTAAGATTTTGTTGAATCAGTGGCTTCGCCGATGTAAAGTGAGGATTAGATTTTAAGGCGAATAACAATTTTTCTTAAGAAAAGTTGAACAAAAAAAAATAATAATAACATCATTATGTTTTGATATTAACGTTATAAATATATATATATATATAGGTTTCAAAATGAGGATTTTTCTCCCTTTGTTTCAGTATGTTCTTTGGGCAACTCCCGCCTCACGTTAGACTCTCGAGACACAGTGTTGTCTTTGAAGTCAGCTTCATTTGACCAAGTGGATGAAAGCATCCAAGTAGACCTATCAGCTGATACCATTACTTACGACTCGGATGATGAAATGGTGAAAAGAAGGGTTAACATCCTTCGCAATAAGAAAGGCCACCCAATCTACTCTCGGGAAGACATAAGAGAGCAATACTGTATTAATAGAAAAGAAGCAGAAGTTTTAGAAAATGCACGCACGAGTCGAATGTTCGGTTGTCTCAGAGGTCAACAAGATACGTCGTGTAGTAGGTCTTCGTTCTTTTCCTGTATGTCAAAGAAGAAGGCTTCCAGCGTTGAAAATGTTAGTAAACCTTTATACTTTTATAGAAAGCAAGAAAGACAAAGTGAAACAGGTGGCGTAGATAAAGGAAGCGCCCACGGTAAAGGTGAAGGAAAGATGGTGTTAGCTAATTCAGTAAACGATGAAGATGATGATGACAATGAAGAGTTTGCTAAAGCTGGATTTCGTAGAAGACCAAAATCGTTCTGTGCTTATGATCCAAAAGTTCGTTTAGCTGGGATTGATAAGAGTTCTGATGACCAAAGTGTTTGTGTAGCTACAACCAAACTATTTTCTTCTTTTAGTGCGATAAGTGCAAATCAGAACACTGTTAACACTGAGTCTGCACAAATAGAGCAATCACGCGATTCAATGGTAGGAAAACAGGCTGATACTAACTCAACTCCTAGTTTAACACCAGACATAATTAAAGATTCTGAAACTGTAGAACCTAGTTTGGAATGGAAAGCTTCTAAAGCAGACGAGCTGTCTCTGGATGAACGTAGGCAAAAACATGTTAGTTTTGATTCGGCTTCTCTCATGCGTAATCATACTGTTGCCAAATTGGTACAGAGCGAAAGTGGTCCATTAGCAACATCAACGCCTTTAAGTCAACAAAAATTATCTTGTATTACAAAAGAACAAAGTAGGTCTCAAGAACGACTGTTAGATACACCACTAAAGAAAGCCCCACAAACAGAAGACTCTATTGTGGATAGCACCACACATTACGATTCATACCCTGGGCTGGGTTCGTCATCTTTGACAGGCAGTGTTATTCAGCTTAGACCAAGAAGAGCCCCCACGAAGACACAGGCAACACAAACAGATAAATCAGCAGCCAATCGAATACGCATTCCAGCATATCTCACTCTATCTCCTCGAGCGTCCGTTCCTCTGAGGCAGAGACATCGAGGAGTACAACACAGAGGAATAAGTAAACTGACTAAAAGCCAATCTTCCTACGGAAACTTAGGAAGTGATGAAGAAAGTGACGAGGACGTCATGGAAATAGATGTTTTATCAAAACACCATCGGTTTATTCGTCCTTTGAGAGGAAGAACCATCTCGAAACAACGTTCCATTGATCTCTCTTCGGAGGAAATAATAGTTTCATTCAAACCGAATTCTCCTATAACCAGAGGGTTTTTATCAAAAAATGTTTCTTCTTCTATTTCTAATGCAGAAACAAATAGTGAAAAGCGTTTCATAGAGCCGACAAATCAACAGAAATTGTTAAGTCACTCTAGTGTGCATAATCAAACTCCAAGAGAACTTTCAATTTCATCTTCAGTGGGTGTGATACGAAAGAAGAGGATTCCTTTATCCCGCTCTTTAGCAAATGATGGTGAAGAGTTTATTATAGACGTGTCCTCTTCCAGCGCAAAAAGTAAAGTTTCGAAAGAAAGAAAAGTACCAGTAAGACGGCATTCAACTATTGAGCATGAACCTTCACAAATTGTGAATAACCCTACTTCTTTGTATTCTATTGAAAAATCAAATACTATGGCTTCCTCAGCAACCAAAACCGGAATAAGGTTTGAAAACTCTGTATCATATAATCCACATCAAAATATCGAAGAAAATTTCAGCCTAGCTATAGATGATATCCACTTCCTAAGAACAGATACGGAAGGTTTTTCTGTGTTCAGTGATGAATCACCAACGATGACATCAGACGTAGTGCTATATGACAGAAAACCTAACCAACTACTTCAGACAAAGGCATCTTCCAAGTCACCAATAAAAGAAAGGTATCCACCAGATACTTTCGTAAGAAGAATTGATCAACAAGAGATCTTAACCTCTCCAGAAAGTGAATCATCCAGCAGTCATTTTACTGAACGTGAGACGTCTCAGAGTGATGTGTCAACTAGTAGCTCGTACTGGCTAGCAAAAAAAGAAGTATCTCTTAGGACCGAAACCGAATGTGAAGAGGCAAGCGAAAGCTCTGAATACATGACGGCCAATGAACACTCGAGCAGAGACAAAGGACTTGGCATGAATAAAATGTTGTTTCATAAGAAAATTACAGATTCAAACGATATTTGCCAAAACTCGTTTGAAAGTACATCTTCATCGGCTAGTGTTTTTGGTTCTCCCTCTTCACGATTTAGTAACCAAAGAACATCTAGCTCATTTTCTCCGAAAGAAGTTCAAAAAGAATTAACACCTCAGCAACCCGATTGGAACTTTGAAAACAAACATAACAATTCTGAAGAAGAAATTCCGTTAGATGAAACAATAAACGAAAACCTGGATTCTTCAGATGATTCAACTAAGAAGGGTCTTCTAAGTTCTGACTCTGAACTTCAGGAGATAACACATACTTTGTGTAAAGTGGAAGTACAGTCATTCTCTCAGAAAGAAAACGCCAAAGAATTTCCACCAAAGCTAGAATATTCACCTGATCACTCAAGTTTACTTGAAGCTACAACAGTCATCGAAAAAAGTGATGGCACTTCGGAAGATTTAGTGGAATCTTTGCATGACTCACCTACTCACAAATTTTTAGCTACTGGTGATCATGAATTGTCTTACGAGGAACATTCTAACAGAGAGAGTGCAGAAAAAAATAAATTTTCAGATGAGAAACAAGTACTTCGTTTTCCAAAAGAACAAGTTTTTACTGTTACAGAAGTCTCAGAAACACTGTCAGAATCTGAAAAATATTGTCGTTTTCCAAAAGAACAACTTTTTACTGTTACAGAAGTCTCAGAAACACTGTCAGAATCTGAAAAATATTGTATTAAAACAGATGAATTCATACCGGTTACTATTAAACACGATATAGAAAACAGTGAAAAATCTTCTAGTTTAAATCTACGAAATCTCTCCACGACAACTGAATATTTTCAGTCAGAAACAACAACCCCATCTTTCGACAGCACAACTTCTGGTAGCTGTTTTGTGGATAACGTTTTCGAAACTGATCCAGAATGTTCACATTCACAAGGCGAGGAAGGGGCAGTTGAAAGCGAAAATCGGTTGAATCTGGACATTGAAGTAACCGATCCTCCTCGATCATTTGAAGATAATGTAGATCTTCAAGGGATGGAGACTTCCATTAACACTGAAAACCTAGAACAGCACTTAGAAAGAACATCTTCGCCAAAACCAGATGATGTCAGCTCTGTAAGTTTAAATATGGAGAAAGACATTATTTCAAGCAGAACAACGAGTGTTACTGAATCTGTCCTTGAAACAGACTCAAAAGATTCTCCAGCAACTTCAGCAACTTCTTTTCGAAAAGAAAGTCAGGTTTCTGTTAAAAAGAAGAATCCAGATGTCGTTAGGAAAAAGGATCGTTTCAGAGTAACAATCAACACAACCGAACCTCAAGAAGAAACACGCCGAAACAATCCACTTCGCAGGTCACACTCTTTAAACAGGGGAACTGACACTCTAGAGGAATGTCCTCCTTTCTTTCTGTGTAGCCATTGTGGAGAAAGAGTTAAAGATCAGAACAGAAGTTTCTCCTCTTTTAGTGGTGACCGGCTTTATTCCAAACAAAGGTGGGATTTTCCACAGACCGCTGATCCTTCTATTTTAAGAAAACAACAGGAACGAGATAGACAGAGATTTACTGGAACAAAAGATATTTTTTCTTTTCCACATTCCAGGCTGCAAAGATGGTGTGAGGGGTCCACTGCCATAGATGAGGATGTGCTTGAAGAGGACGATGAAGATAGAGGTAGGTTACGTAATACATATGTCATGTATATTCGGCGTATCTATAATTAGCGTTAAACTAACTAGAATTAACATGGAGGTACTTCGCAATTATTTAACACCTTAACAATGTGAAGTACAAGGTAGTTTCATTATTTATCTAAGTACTACATGACGTTCAACGTAGATATCTGAGTATATCATTTACTGGCTCTGTGCATTAGAATGGGCAGAACTTTGAATTCTAAAACTGAAGAGTTCTCGTGCTTTCTATCATATAAAAATATGAAATTCTCAGAATGATATTTATGTCTCTAAATGAAATTTCTGTGAACTTTAGGGTTCTCGACTTTACAAACACAAAATCAATCCTTACGTGGGCTTTCATTAATCAAGGAAATCTTAAAAATACTTTTATTTTCACATTTTATTTCAGAGTTGTTTTAATATTTAATAATATACTTATCATTATTCACTCATAAGACCGAAATTGTTGTCTACAAAGGAAAATATCATTACTTTTATGTAAAACAACAACAACACGTATATTAGTCAAACGACTCAGTAGTCTGTAAAACTGTTATATGAATAGAGCAGTGTTACGCAAACCACCTTTTATGTCGCGCGCCCCTCCCCATAATTTTCTCGTGTTAATTGTTGTTATTATGTTATATAAAAGTAGTGATATTTATACTGTAGTTTTTAAAACTTCTGTATTTTTGAATTTGTACTTTCAGATATAACTAATATACTCCCATAGTTACAGTTGAGCGACTCCTGTTTGCACACCACGGGAACAGAAGAGCACTATTGTTGAAAATTGCATTCATTAAATTTTTAATAATGTGTTCCTAATCATCAACGATTATCATGGTGTTCATGAAAATAAATCTCTATTGTCTTCAAGTAGAAGTAATATTCCTTGTTGAAATCATCGTTCGCTCGTGGGATAAAAGTGTGCCTTTTTTACTCATTAGACAATCTATAGAATGTTTTTTCAAGAATAAATTTCGAAAAGATAAAAACTCTATCGAATAAAGCTTTATAAGATATATATATATATAAACAAACTATTCTTTAATTAATATGTATCTTCATGGGAGGTGTTAATTTACTCTAGCTAATTTGCAATAAAGACAATTAATTTGCTTTTGTTTTTGAGTAGCCTTCGAAGATATGCTTATCCTTTGACGATAATTTTTTAATAGTACAGAAATAGCTAATATGGTGAAATAAGATTTGAAAATCATTCTGAGCGTTCTTAGGTTATACCTAATATGATCTACGACAGATTTGTATGTTTTGTTAGGCCTTCATCTGGAGGGTTATCACCTGTCTCTATGGATTTTTGTTGGAGAAGAAGAGGAGTTAGCCGTGTGGAAACAACTTGTAGATTCTAATAGTAAGTGATAATTTAGATTATTAATCAAATTCATGCAGTAAATAAATTACGTAGTTTGGGCGAAGAAACCTCTTATAATCTACTGAGTAGGATCCACTAAAGTTAAAAATAGATTTTACTGGATATTTTAATTTTTGTGCGATTTGTCAGAACTTCGTAGTATCATAAAGTTTACTTTAGTGATTAAAAATTAAGAATTTATCGAACGATTCCCATTCTCAAGTACTGGATACAAAGTGAAAAGAAAATGTATAAACCCGCAAGGGATCATTTTAAAACATGTCTCATATGAACGTTACCCTCATCAGCCTTGCGCACGTGGCTTTAAAATATGAATTTGTGTTCAAAGTTATAATATTAAACGACAAAAGTGGATTACTTATGACATTGTTTACTTTGTTATTGTCATAAAATAATTTGTTAGAAGTAATCAGTGTAACAACAGTGGATTATAATCAAGCATAACGTCAAATTTTACATGTGAAGGCAGCTTTCAGTAGATTTTATGGTTGCAAGGTTTTAGAGTGATTAATTAGTTGTAACACAGAGCGATCTTCTGTTGAGATGAAATATGTGTACATTAAATATATCACTTAGAACTTTGATAAAAATATTACAAAATGTTAATAGATAAAGGGAGCAAAACACTGAATTATGACATTAGATCTTGTTCTATGTGATACCTTTTAGAAATTATATCGTTTTGAATTCCCTATAGGATAATGATATGTTTAATAACGGATAAAATAACAATTAAAGAAGATGACAAAGTTAATACCTTGTATTTAACAATTTTTAATACATTATTCCTTTCTTGTCAAGGTAGAAACGGTTTTTAATGGAAAGATAAAAATCAAATCATATATACATATACAAGACTTTCAAGGTACTTTTCGTTATCTGATGCTTGCGGTTTCAATTTCTACGACGTTTCAAAATGTATTCACTGACATTCTGATGGAAGTTTTAGTAATATTTTGTCATTCTGTTATCTTTTGCCTGTAGTGTAACTGCCATTTTGTTATCTTCTGCATGCAATGTAACTGTCATTTTGGAATATGGTTCTGAGTTAAAATTTATTTTCGACATTTATGACTTCATTTTCGCTTTAAGGCGAGCATCCAACTTTATATTATTTGCCGCTAGTTATAACTTAGTAATTTCATGCGGCATGGAAAACCTTTATTTTTTCTAATTTTTCAACCACTTGTTTTTATATATATTGAAGAGGAATAATGTATTTTTTGTTTTAATCGTTCTTGTACAGTTCTTGTATTAACTGGTTATGGCTCACTTGTTTGTTTATTATGATGGAAAACGAATGCTGTCGAAAGGTCGTATAAGATGAAAGTTCCAAGAGATAAATTGTTTGTTTGTAATTAAGCACAAAGCTACACAATGGGCTATTTGTGCTCTGCCCACCACGGGTATCGAAACCC